GGTCACAAATACAATCAAATGAATGGCAGCACTAGGACAAAATTTGCCTCACCAACATCCTGCCGAGTGCAGAGCAGTAATCTCCATTTCAGATGCAGGCTGTGTTTATGTTTTACTCAGAAATCACTCTAGCCTCCGAAACTGTTTTATGTTCCTCGAAGTTTATGGTGCCTGAGGATTTGATACTTTTTTCCTTTTTTTCAGAGAAGAGATTTCCTGCTTAAAATGTATTTGACATTTATTTTGATCTCACCTCAGCCTTTGGGGTAAATGAAGAAAAATATCTGCTTACATTGCCTTTTTAATTCATCACTGCTGTTGACATTTATCTGAGATTACTGCAGATATTTGGTGCAGTACACGCTCCGTTTATCAGCACAATTAAAATTGATCAGACAAGCTACTCCATCCAATCATCCACTTTCTCCTGTCAAATCTGTCAACTCAGTGAAAAATGAATTAGTCTGTTATACACCGGCGAGTAATCCGCGGTTTATATAGAATGTAGTTGATGAAAAAAAAAGTGAAAGCTTTTAATGTGGGCCAATCACAGCTACAAGACTGTGGACGGGACTTGTCAGCTGGTGTTATGCATCACTTTGGATTTATTAGGTCAAGATTAATATAAATACCCAATTTTAATTATACGAGAGTGAATACGTGACTTGGCAATCAGGTCACCTGAATGTACTGTGTTTGCACATGAAGGCCTGAGGTTTAAATGCGTCTGCTCCGTTCTTCATAAATAAAACAGCAGGATGTATGTCACGCTGCAGGGAACTCTTCATAACATTGCTGGAGTTCAGGGCTTTTTGAAATGTACTCAGTCTTTCATAAACATGCGAGATGCTGAGGCTGTTGACGGACGACTGAAAAGCATTAGATCTCATTTTTCCTTCGTGGTGCACATAAAGACACCAGATAATGTTGGTACTTTAACAGAGATAATACAAACACTGATGTAGCATATAGCGTAATATCTACATAGCTTATTGGAGCTCAGATTCTTTTTCCAAATGTAAATATATTATTTACATATCTAGTATTTCTACTGTATTTCTCAAAAAAATGTTTTTAAATGATTATTTCTTTTACTTATCTATTTTATATGTGGATTGTTCTGTTTGACATCTGTTGTTGACAGTAAAGCATACATTTCATTGTACAGGGAAACATCTTTCTCTGCTGTGCGTATGACAATAACTTTGAAACATAATGATTGTGATTGATGGCGAGGGGATCATCACAGTAATTGCGAATCATCCTGAATGGCACAAAAATGTCTGAAACAAACTGTAATGTCAGTTTAATAGTTGTGGAGGTATTTGTGATCAAATGCGGCAATGGGGACTAAACACACAAACATACACACACTCACACACACACTATCAGAAAACACGAGAAGGTTTTCAGACTCAAAACAAAGTTTGCTTCCTGTTTCACAGTCTGAGCCCTGAAGACGAGAGAGAATGGAATAGTGATTCGTTGCTATTTTTTCAGATTGGTGGGACAGATTGGCAGAGCTAATCAGCTGAAGCTGATTAATTAAAAGTCCAGCATTGAAAATATTCTCAAGTAACATTCAGAATAGTCGTGTTTTAATAGTTAAGTTATACAAATCTCAAGCCACATTTCATTTAAGATCAGACTTAAAACTTTTCTTTTTTCATAAAACTTTATAAACTTGATAAAACTGCTCCTCCCTGAGGCTGGTTCTGCTGGTTTCTTCCTGTTAAAAGGGAGTTTTTCCTTCCCATTGACGCTTGTGCTTGTTCATAAGGGGCTGACTGATTGTTGGGATCTTCACCTTGCAATATAAGCAAGGCTGCACCTATTTCCCATTTGTAAACATATGAGGGGTAGCTTAAGACTTTTGAACAGTACTGTACATTTTGTAAAAATTGCAATTGGGAAAGCCACTAAGTAAAGCTGTAAATGTTTGCATAAATTTAGTGAATTTAACCTGTTCTAATTACCTATGAAGTTTAAAATATAAGTACAAACTTTTAGGATGCGGTTTGTGGAAGTAGAGTTATTCTAACTAAAGCTTGACAAAAGAGATGTTCAGCTTTGCAGCTGAATTTTGCACTAAATCCTGAGCACCTGAGTGTCTATACTGTCAGCATTGTGACAGTGTTATTAATAACTTTCTGCTGCTTCTCCCTCTGTCTCTGTTTGCAGGATGTAAAACAGAATGGGATGAGATCGGGTGCTGGCTGCGAGCTGAGGTTGGGCAGGTGGTCAATTTGTCCTGCTCTGAAGTCTTCCAGCATTTCTCCAGCAATCAAGGTTGGTTCCTGCACCAGCCTCAGTGAACACAGAAAAGCACAGATCCTCATAGCCAAATCATCTGATCACCAGCATTGTTAAAATAATATAATGTAAAAATCCGATTCTTGGATGCTGTGCTGTCGCACCAGTATTAGCTTTAGCTCTGCTGGATAATCAGCAGAGCTAAAGCAGGCTGGAGTCAATGCTGGAGAATCATAGCATGTATTCATGTATGTTTGTTGGCAATAATACACACACACACACACACACACACACGTGCACACACACACACACGCACATACATAATATGCTCTAGGATGTTTTTGGCAGAAGTGGATTGAAATCTTGTCTGCAGGGTTCATTCATCACAATTTGACATCCTTTTCGGCTGCTGTCTCCTCAAAGAAAGTCCTTGTGACACCATGAGAAATAAATTATTTCTTAATAATGAGCTTTTGCATTTAGCAATTTTTATATTTACACATACGTGTGTAAATAATGCACATATATCCACATTAAGATTTTTTTTCTTAGCTTTTTTTTTGGTTAAAACAATTACATGTTTTGCGACTATTAAACTGGTCCTTATAGGACAACAAGTAAACGTTTAAAATGACGCACACAGACAGCAAAATTGGTCTGTTGTATTGTTACAGGACCATTAGAGGAGGGAAAGCCACATTAATTAACGAGTAATGCTCTTTCCTCCTTTACCTTGATGGAAATAACGGCTCATTATGATCTGAATTGCTGATCACCCAAACAAACAAGAGGCTTTGCTTTCAGCTGCACAGTTTGCAGCATTTGGACTCCAGTCGGTTTCTGTTTGCTCAGAGGAAATAACGAACAAAGAAAAAAATCCTCCTGTCATGTATTTTTATGCATCTTTGTTCTGCTAAACAGCAATTCTGCTATTACCTATGCGCTATCTCTGGCAAAGATATTTAAATACACAGTCCCACAAATACCAGATGAATTTCTCCTGTCACCCGCTGTATCCAAATGAACTTTAACCAAAAGCAGACGTCAGTGGACATAAAAGAATAAAACGTTTTTTGACTCAAAGCACGATGGACCGAAATAGTCTCAGAGAAGAAATACTGGTGCAATGATGACTTAAAGCTTGTAGGTTAAAACAAGGCGTGTAAAGCAATTGTTGATGAAAATCTGGATCTTGCTGGTAGTGGTGTTGGTTACCCGCCACATCTCGGACCCATACAGGAGGACTGCTTTCACATTAGTGTTGAAGATGTGCTGAGATAAGGCTTTGGAGTTCCAGATGGGTCGCAGGGTGTTGAATGCAAGCCTTGCTTTGTTGATTTGTCTTCATCTGCGCCACCATCACTGTTGACTATGCTTCCTAGGTAGATGAAGCAGTCAGTTTCCACCAAGTCTTT